ACACACACACACACACACACACACACACACACACACACACACACACCTGCCCTCTGTCATTGCCCTTCCTGTGCGAACAGCAGCGCAGAGAGAACAGACAGACAGATGGACTGAATCCTTTACTCCTTCACCTCCCAGTGAGAGAGGAGAGGAAAATATACCACGACAGGAGAGGAACAAAGAATTAAAACAATACATGTTCTTGGACCAAATTAACATTGAAGAAAGAAGCTGAGCTAAATATATTATGTTAATGGTGTGAAACACTCCTACTGTGGATCGTTTGTAGGTTAAGTGAGAACTGTGACCTCAGCAGTGACATATTTTACATTTTCAACTTCATTAAGTTCAAAGTATGTATCCCTGGTAGAATCCCCACATTTCACTTCTACACAATTCAAGCAAGTCGGCCTGAGGAAATAGTGAAGGTTGGATAACTACCCATCATCTGTATTTTTTTGTGTTTTTTTTTTAAACACAACCAAAGCAGGCAACTTTTAAACAACACTGGAGCTGACATGTTTTGAATGAATCCCTGAGAGGAGTGTAGTGTGCTGGTCTATCATGTATTACTAATGCATCATGGGTGAATCGTATGGTTTGTGGAGGGCGGCCTGATGAAGACAGAAGAAGGTGACCCTTGGATGACCCTATACTGCAAACCACACCTACTTTGGCATCTCTCCTCTCCTCTCCTCTCCTCTCCTCTCCTCTCCTCAGAGCCAGCTGGAAATAATCCAGTCATGACCAACTGGTCCATTACCACTAACCGACCAATTATGGCTCTGTATAAGAGATGTCTTTTACTGCACCATCAAACTGGTCGTCTGTTTCTCTGAAGGGCAAGGATGTGAATGACCTCCTAATCTTTATTACGATTACATTATTTTCTGTTTTATACACGTGGCAACATTGTTAACCACCAATGGATGGATAATGCTTCGGCCGCATCATAGATGCTACTAGTCTGTACAGCCGATCGTAGCAAGGCTGCAGAGACGGTATTTTAATAATAGTAAAAAAACAAACATTTTACCTGGGGTCACGGAGGGGACCAATAGGACCACTGCAGCAGGCAGCGTTAGCATGATTGCCATGTTAATGCAGTGGACCAGAAATCCCACAAGTTCAGTAAATGAACCCTGGGCAGAGGGAGACAAAGAGGAACAGCAGGAGGTTTTACATTAAACCTTAAAGACAAGTTGTCCTAGTTTAAACCACCTAACTATTTATTTTGTTTGCACATTTTCTATTTAAGTCATTTATTGTTGAGCTTATTGTCAAAACAATGTGAAGAATATAGCAGCTAAACATGAAAATGTTATTTCTTTGCTCTGCTTTTGAACAGATCTTTGGAATGAAAACAGAACCACATTTCGAGTTATGGCGGCCTATAAAAAGTTTGAAAAAGCTCACGATGTTCCATATTCATGCCAAACAGACAGAGCATAACTGAACATGCCCTAAATGCAGATGGTGAAACTAATTTCTCATTTTACCATTTAACATTTGCAGATGCAGTCGGGGAGGGTCAGCTAGTTTTAGGAGAAAATAATCCCTCCTGGGAGTCGTGAAAGTGCTGCGAATTCAACAGTCCAGTGAAAATCCACAGGGCTCCGATGTTTGAGTGCAAGCAGGGTCTTTCCCACTCACCTTCGACAGCTGCCTTTCTGTGTAGAGAGCCACCAGAACGAACACATTGGACACTGTCAAAACACAATGACAGATTCATGTCAGCTCCTCTGAAACAGTCCTTACAGACTCACTTCTGAAGGGTCTGTGCAGGATAGAAGTATGAATACAAGGCTCAGAATTACAGTAAGATATGTTGGGTCCAGGTCTAATGTGTGCACTGGTTTGGCCTCAAGTTGAGTATTTGAGTGAATTAAGCTTTACAGCTGCCCTCTGCTGTCTCATGCATAAACCATGCCGTCACACACTCACACACGCACACACACACACGCACACGCATGCATGATTAAACAGGAACACCTGATGAAAGAAATGAGCCAGCACTAACGGAGCATATGTGCTGCTCAGCACACGCCAACTGCTAGTTAGTTAGAGTGACAAGGCGGTCGAGTGGGTGTGCGTGCACGTGCACACACATACGCACGTCATTCTATATTCTATTGTTGCCATTCTCAGATCTTTAGGAAAGGAAATAGAAGAGAACTTGCTTTGTATTAAACAGCTACAATATCCTGACTTTAGAGGGAAAATGCTAGTATTGGGAGCCACTGTTGGTATTTAATGCACTCTTTATTATGCATGAATTGCTGCCGCTGAGCCTGATTCTTCTGTGTGGAGCAAATTGGGCTGAATTGTATGTGGAATTTTTGGTTTAAACTGCAGGTTAACTCGCTGCAGAATGAACTTAAGGAAACCACTGGTATGTAGATTGCTCATTACCCCGACTAGACCCGGCTGAGCCACACTGATGGCACATAATTGCAGCAATTGTTCCCTTTTAAGACCCTAATCAGTGCATTAGCATGTCAGTCAATATAATCTAGAGTGAGCAGATGTGTTAACTGTCAGACATTTTGATTACTGGGTCTTATCGTTCCGTCATCAATGCAACTATTCATCAGCATTGCCACCCCCAAATCATGTGTTTCATGGTGCAGTCAGTCCCATGCTTGCTTTGGACTTCATGGTATACTTACTGTACTTATGCTATAAAGAGACAAGAGACGAGGGAACAAAAGCCGCACATGCAAAACTATTTTTCATGTGTATTTTTCATAACCAGATTTGTCGATCAGGCAAGAACTATTTCATTTAATGTGTCATCATTTGCAGTTAGTAGGATAACGTAGGCATCACTAGGTTTCTGCAGAAGAGCTCATTATAGTTACATGAGATTCTGTATTTAGGCAAATGTGACTTTTTTTATTACCAGTAAAAACACACCAACAAAGTAAACAAAACCCACATACAGCCAGGAGAACAACTATCGGTAACTTCCTCTCACACCTATTTTAAACATGTAAATGACTAAAACATGATTTGCTAACATTTCATTCATTTCAGTGCAATTTGCTCCACTGAAATATGATGTTAGGTTGAGCAAAACTCTCTTCAACATGGCAGTGTCTGACATTTTACCAATATAAAATGTTGAACATGTTTATTTTATTTTGTAGTTCTTTATCACACATCAAGACTCTATTCTATATGAAGAGCTAATGTTCGTTATTAAAATCTCTTTTGGAAACAGGCCTGTTGAGCAACTTTGAAAATGAGCAACTATTGATTATTTTTATTTTGGTCACTCACAGGAACAGTTGCCTGAATGGAAGACTGGTTGGTTCTACCATTGTAGACTTTGTGTTGTGGTATTTGTGTGTGGGAGTGCATTGCTGCAGTGACTCTGGAAGTACTGAATGTCCTCTGGGAATGAGCTGCTTTACATGAGCATGCTACTGTAAACAGACTCCCATCCTCACCTGTCTCTGTGCGGCCATTTACCTTAACTCCATCCATCTCTTCCTCCCTCCCTCTCCTCTTGTCCTGTGCCAATACAGCACTTTACATCAACCCCCTCTCCCTTTCTTCCCCAATCCTTTCCTTTAATCTCTCTCTCTCTCTCTCTCTCTCTCTCTCTCTCTCTCTCTCTCTCTCTCTCGCACAGTGTGCAGTATATGGGGCAGGTGATTGTCCCTCCAGAGACACTGTAAGCTGCACCACTGCAGACTTTCACTGTGATATACCGTAAAAATAAATATTTAAAAAAGGTCTTTGAATATAGCACGTGCTTGTTTGTGCCTTAGAACAAGGCTTGAAATAAGGCAGATTAGACCACCCAAACTAAATACATATTCACCGCTTTAAATGCAGTTATTCTACCTAATTATCTAAATGTTATGATTTAATTTTAGAAAAAAATATTTTATACTCAAAAAGATGTTTTTGAAGTGTTATTGCCGGACTCATTTGAAGTGGTTCAATGGTATAATTTAGAGCCAGATTAAAGTTTAGCAGTAGATCTATATCTGTGCTCATGTACATGAAGCTGAATCTTACTCTCATATCTGCCATATGATGTGTCTTTGGTGGTTAGGAGTAATTCTAGCTTCGGTTTAACATCTCTCTATGATTTTTATCCCATTTTTAAAAACTGGTTTTATTTCAAGCTCAATTTAACAATTTCTAAGTGACATTTGATCTAATTTCCCTCCTTATTAAAATGATAAATTAGGTAATTGTTTCAAATATTGACGTTTTTATCTTAAATACAGGAACTATGCTGTTTAATTATGCGACTGCGGTTGTGTTGTTGCTTTCCTAGAAGGTGACTTACTGGACAGGTGAAATGTTTACCTACCAATTACCAGGCATGCTGCTGGCCAGCTGTAGGGATCGTTCAGAAACAAGGAAATCACTTGAATCGGGTCCACCAAGACCCCGTACCTGACAAAAAGAGAAAAAGCCAGATTAAAAAAAGACACATCTAAATTAAAATGCATGTTGAAATTGCCAGAATACAGAAATTGTTTTTATAGTAAATTAATACAGTCACTTCTTTTCAAAATTTCAATATTAAAGAATTACACACAGAGGTTTACTATTCAAGAGAAATGGAATATGGACTCCAGCACGGCTATATATTTATATAATATATATAGACTTTTTTACAGCAGCCATTTTGAATTAGCAACTAGCAGAGAAATGTGACTAACAGCATTAACTATGGCTCTGTTACTGTGTATTGGCCCAGTACACCAATCCAGCTAACCAGCATGCACAATATCAGGACCCTGACATCGGCTCAGGTGAAATACAGTCCTTATTATTGCATTAATTACACCTGTGCTTTTTCTACGAGAGATGTAAAAGTGCTACAATAAAAAACATCTATTATCAAAATAGTAAAGTCACTCTGTGAAAGCAGGAAGATTGTGAAATGATTGAGAACCTGTTTGGTATCTTTCATCACTAACATCATTGATATCTGTTTAAGAATGAAATACTGGGTAACAAGCGTACAGGAGGCCTGTTTAAATGATAATGTATCAGTATAGACACTAGTAAAATAATGTCCAAAGACTTCAAACGTACTCACCGTAACAAGTTTTCTAAGAAGAGGCGAGCATTGCTCAACACCTGTAACAAAAAGCAAGAATTAAGGATGTTCATCTGATTGACTCATGTGTTACTTTCAACACTTTTAATCCAATAAAAGCATCCTTCCATATCATCTCTTCCCTCTACAAGTTTCTCTCTCCTTCTGTTGCTTTCCTTCCTCTCCCTATATCTCATCATCCCTTTTCCTCTCCTCAACACAGTTCTCCTCCTCTTCATCGTCCTCGTCCCCACATTCTTTTTTTTTTTTTTTTTAAATCTCCCCTCCTCGCTTTTCCTCTTTCTAAATGGATTGTAATATCTCATTACCCGGCACAAAGGCTCTCTGCCTGGGGATGGGACAGAAGTTCAGTGGGAATGAAGAAAAACCTCCTGCGCTGAACACGATCAGTGTTCAAAGCCTGGATTAACAGGTCTTCGCTAGCCTCGCCTTGTCTCCAGCACAGAGGAGGAAGAGCTGCGAAAGGTGTTGAGCTCGACATAAAACCTGTTAATCACATTAAATTATTTAACTGCACATGCACTCAAAATGAGCTAACTTCAATAACTCAATAATTCTTTGTTTTGACACACGTCACATGATTTGCCTGCGCTGTAACATGTTTGATTCAAACCATCTTAGAAATTGCTGAGACTCCATTTTTTGGCAGTGTGGTTAAGCTGGCAGGAAACCGGATTCAACGCAGATACAGACACAGCGAGTCTGTCTGGAAACAAATAGCTATTAATAGAACAATGTGGACTAATTATTTATTTTATATAATTCTGACATATGTCATTGCATCAATCAATGCTAGTGGATCATCTGATTGGTTCTCTTCCTGTTATACACTGGTTTCTGGGAAAGAGATGATGAGCACAAACTGGATATCAAGTGAAATACATAATGCTACTTATGTTAGCGCCCTTTAGATATTTGGCTTTCACTTATTATCTAAATCTATATAAAAAGATGTATTTCCATAGGAAGTTTGGTTTATTTGTGTGTTCAAACATTGGTCTTACCAGCATGACCACACACCAGTTGAGGATTCCTCTGTAGTTACTGAAACCACTGGATGAACTCAGCAGGGATTCTTGTGTCTTATGACAACTACAGAAGTAAAATAGATGAATGGGTGAAACAATTAAGAATATCATGATCTTAAGAAACATTTATATTTATTTGACTCTCACATCAATTGCACATCAAATGATGAATATTAGGAAGAAAAAAATGGTTGAGAGTAGTTTTAGTGATGAGAAAGAAAGGAAGATACATTATGACAGCAAAAACAATAGAATACAACCAACAATAAAAATGTTGTAGCAGCAGCTCAGGAAACTAAAGGTGAATTTGGTCTAATATCTAAAAGTGTGGTTACATTTATGTCCCTTGACACACTAGTTTTATCATTTCATTTTGGTAATGTTGCACCACAATAAGGAATATCCGATGTGTTGTACGCTAAATACCAACGCGGCCCGATCGGTAAACAGGGAATGCTTTGGTATTAAACTGGCCTAAAGGGATTAAGCTTACCCACAATGCACCCTGTTTATAGTACCCTCATTAGACACGCCCCTAATCAATAAATCAGGCCCACAGATATCGAGTTACTCTGCCAAGTAGCACTAAAAACAAATGTAAAAGCATGAATGAAAAAGGGCGACAGCCGTCACAAAATGAACAGGTCTTGTTCAGGGTTTACCTCAAACGACCCTGAGCAGCCTGAGTGTGTGTGTGCTGCACGTTCAAACTAGCGAACGTTATAACTTCTGCCAACTTAATAATAATACAATAACGTTACTGGCTTAAAGTAACGTTAATTTAACGTCAGCCGTGTAAGTATTAAACTAAACTTTTCTCAAACGAAATAACAGTTTGATAACTGTTGTGAAGTTAGCGTTAACTCACCTCAGCCTCTCACTAATGTCACTCCTGCGTTTTTGTTTCTCACTGCTTGATTTGGACCGGGCTGTTTCCAGCGGTCGGTCTCGTTTTCCCCGCCCATTGTCCTTGCTACTGTCGGCGGTCACTGAGCTCTGACACTCCGCTGCAGACTTGCCGTTCATCGGCAGCAGACTTCCGCTTTTCCACGCCGCGAAAGTCGCCCTTCTCCTGAGAGCTAATTCCCCGGTGGCGTCCGAGTCCCCCATGATAACAGAGCAAACACCAACAGCTGTTAAATCTACTCTAAAGTTTACTCCTACAGGTCACTGCTGATAGTAGCATGCCTGTTGCTCCTTCAACTAGCGTTTCGGAGAGGGAAGTGGATGTGGCTGCTAAAACAATCCGCCCAAAGCTCAGATATCCGTAGGTATGACGCCACATGAAGTGACAGCGGCCTGTTACTGTAACTTGTTTGACTGCTGCTCATTGTAACCGACAGGTGAGTCACATCCTCAGGGTTTACTCAATCATGAGATATGAGGAGCGTTTAACTGAAGTGTCAGTCCGCTTGCAAGCCTGGGCTCCTCTCGGAATAGAGTCAAATAAGATAGAACTGTTTTGATTTACTGCCAACCCATCGGGCTCTGTGCATCAGATGCATGATGAATGCCGGCAGGATAACATGGAATAGTTGACAAAACAATAACACCTCAAGGTCCATTTAGTAGCTAACCTGGACATGATTCAACAAAGAGTTAAAAACTGAACAAATATCCACAAATATTACTCTGGCATATCCCTTATATCCTCTGCAACTGTTGTAAGCAATTCAAATTGGGTGAAAGTGCCTCTCCACAGAGGCTGTCGAGCTACAACTCTGTCCATGGTTTTATAAAGGGTGGACGTTATAGTTATCGGTTGAAAGTCATTCAGCGTACTTGCTTTTGGATTTTTTTGGCACAGGTTTCCATGATTTTGGCACTGTGGGTTGGTACTGGGATAACCTTGCAAAGATTCCATTTAATTGGAGGGCACAGTCTTTAATGGCGAATGCCTTTAGTGTGTCTGGGCGAGTGGCCTTTTTTCTTATCTTATTAAGTGGATATCACAACGCAAGGCAAGTTTATTTGTATTGCACATTTCAACAACAAGGTAATTCAAAGTGCTTCACATAAAACCATTAAAAGCATCAAACCATAAGGCAAAAGAAAAGGAGATTTAAAAACAATTAAGAACATTCATTGAAACAATAAAAACAGTCATTAAAACATTAAAAAACAGTGTAAGAAATAAAATACAGTAGTGAAATGCAGGAAATTGATTAATATATTAATTGAATCTGGTTCAATTAAAGGCAGCAGCAAACAGAAAAGCCTTCAATCTTGATTTAAAGGAGCTGACAGTCTCAGCAGACCTGCAGCTTTCTGGGACTTTGTTCCAGGTATCTGGAGCAGAAAAACTGAACGCTGCTTCTCCATGTTTAGTTCTGACTCTGGGAACAGAAAGCAGACAGAAAGCAGATGGTTCATAAGGTAGCAGCAGATCAGAGATGTATTTTGGCCCTAAACCATTCAGTGCTTTATAAACCAACAGCAGGATTTAAAAGTCAATTCTTTGTTGGACAGGAAGCCAGTGCAAAGACCTCAGAACTGGAGTGATGTGATCCACCCTCCTGGTCTTAGTGAGGACTCGAGCTGCAGCGTTCTGATTGACCTTTTACAGAGACCTGTAAACACACCGTTACAGTAGTCCAGTCTGATGAAGATAAATGCATGGACAGGTTTTTCCAAATCCTGTTGAGACATAAGTCCTCTAATCCTTGATACATTCTTTAGGTGATAGGAGGCTGATTTTGTAATTGTCTTGATATGGCTGGTCAGGTTGAGGTCTGAATCCATAACTAAACCTAGATTTCTGGCTTTCACAAGTGTAAGTTGATGTCACAAGAGTGGGCTCTTTAAATGTACTCTTCTGATGAATTAACCTCTCAAAAGCACAACGAAGACAGCTCAGGCTGATGGTGTTGAAGAGAATCATTCAAGTCCAGTTCAGAAGTTGCTGTTGCCCGATTTGGGTTAGTAAGTCTATACTGCCCAAATGTGTATTCCTCATCAGTAGATGGTGAGCTTATAACAGCTTGTAGGCGGATGAAATCTGAGCTGGGTCTGACAAGCTTATTATGATGTTGTGCAATGGCAACAATAATAAGTATATCCCTTACGATTTTGGAAAGAACGTGGAGTTTCATCTGGTTCCACCCTTCAAACCTGCCAAACCTTAGATGTTTTATTCCACAAGTGGGATGTTTCTAAGAAAAGCTAAAGTTCTACTTTTCTCCCATCCATAGCTTTGTGGTGCATAATGAGCATTGCAGCCTCACTGGTCCACTAGTGGTGCCAATGTGGACTGTTAGTCTTGTTAAAGATGCAGATCCCTTTTGACTGTATGGCCAAGGATCCCATAATGAATTGGGATTTCAACTATCTTCCCGGAGACTGTAGCAAACAGGAGACTCGCATCACACCCTCTAAGTTACCCTTTGTGTATAGCAGCCAAAAGACTGTTTGAAAGCTTTCATTTAATGAGAATGCCCTTTCTGTCTATTCTAGTTTTGTGTGCTTATCCATACTGTGGTGTGGAACTGATCAGTGGCATTGATCCAGCTTTATCAGTCCTGACTGTCTATAAGGTTGTCTTTTAGAGTAATGAGCCTGTCTGCAGTTGTTGGGATAAGAGATCTTGGGGAGGGATCAATAGGAAACTTATGACTAATTGTTTTAACCCTTAAACGTCTTGCTGAACTTCAGTGTTTCCCCCAAACCATTAAAATCTCAAGTTGCCTTTTTGGTTTTAGCTCTTTTTTTCTTTTGTTTATGGTGACTGTAAAATGATGAAAAGCTGGTCAGCTGTTTGATCACCAGGGACAAAAGCAGCAGATAGTTTCAGAATTCGGCATGTGTCTTTTCTAACAACTTGTTATAATCTTCCTCAGGGAGGCTGAGCAGTATGCTGTTCCATCGAAGAGATGTCTCAGACATAACGGTGCAACAATTTCCTCAGCATTTTGTATCAGCCTGCACTATGAGCCAGTAGAGGGAGTCCAAGACTGGAATCCTGTTTCAACCTTTTGGTGAGTCATTGTGCTGTGTCTTATTTCAAGGTCCCAGTTGAAAAACCTCTGTGTTTAGTGAAAACTTTATCGCTGTCAAAGGTCAAAACATATATTCTTATGAGAAAAAGATGTTCATGAATAAATTAGTATAATTAACATAATGGACAGTTTTCTAGTTTTAATGCGCAGTGAAGATGGTTCTCCTGGACATTGGCAAATTCAGAAAATTGTATGTATGAATCAAAGTTGTACTGTGGAAGACAGTTTGTTGCGTGCAAGTCTGCTAATGCTCCACGGGTGAAGTTATTTTTGATAACAGCTAGCCATTTAAAATTTAGAGAATAAGAGGTTTTACCTATGCATTATTCATGCTTTCTGTAGGGCCTCAAAAACTGAAGCTTTCTACGAGCTCTATCTGAGCTGCGAGAGAGGCAGGTAGGAACACAACCGACTTCTCTTTTTATGTGGATCCGTCTTTCTTCCTGCCTCCAGAAACATGATCTTTAAATTACCTTTTCTATACTTTTTTTGTACCTTCCATGTCTAGATTTGTCTGATTTATCCGTCAAAATAGGTGGTTACCTGAACATAACACCTATATGTGACATTTTAAACATCAACCACAGGAATTAATTTGTGGCTATACACTCACTGCCTATTGGAGGTCTTTATAGGCCAGTCACGTTCTTTCTCATCATGACAGTCAGAAAACACGTTTCTTCATATATCTTTATTCACATAGTTATTGTTTTCTTTTCTTAGCGTTTGGAATTTGAAAGCACATTACGGTACAAAATATCAGTTTGCTGTTGCATTAAGATTTCCCTTAATTGGAAGAAAGGGGCCTTGCCCAAACCATTAAAATAATTCCCCAAACAAACAATTACCTGAACAGAGGTGGCTATTTTGGCCTTTCAGTCTGTGTATCTATCTACTCTGTTGCATTCATGTTGTCGCATCTTTCCGTGGGTTCAAATGTTGACATCACAAGCTGCTTAACCACACTGCCACTTGCTCAAGGCTAGGTGGGAGAGGAAGAGAGAGAGACTGTGTGATTGAAAACATAAGGTTTAAGGCAATAGATGTAGAGACAAAAGATAAATATAGAGACGAAGGAACAAGAGAGAACAGCAAGATGGGTGGGATACAAAGAGAGAGAGAGGGGGGGGGGAGAGATCTCACCTTCTATCTACTGAATATCTCAGTCTCTCTCTCCCTCCATCTGGAGAGGCAGAGGGAGCGAGAGATAGTGTTTGCCCTTGCAGGTTGTAATGAAGCTGTGGAAGGATAGATGACTCACTTTAACACAGGCAGAAGAGAAATACACACTCCCAACATCACTCAGCTGACCTGAGTGTATGTGTGTGTGTGTGTGTGTGGGTGCATATGTGTGATAGCTTTTGTGTATGTTTGTGATGGTAGGAGTGTGACAAAAGAGACTAATGCTGATTATATAGGAGACTGGATGGAGTGATAAAGGTGTCACGAGATGGACGGACAGTGATAGAGAGGTATGTGCTCTGCTGTGCACGCGCAGTTTGCGCGCCCATGTGTGTCTGTGCATGCACCAGTGCCCGCTCATGTGCATTGGCAAATTTTGCATGTGTGAGCACATACATCTGTGTGCAGATATAATGCATGCAAAGTGTGCACTTTTCTGTGTATGTGTTGAGCCTCGCATTAGCAAGTGAAGTACCTATCTGTACATGCACCTGTGAGTGTGTGTGTATATATATATATATATATATGTGTGAGAAAGAGAGAGTGCATCATGGAGAGACAGATAGAGGCGTCATCGCGCTGTTTGAGGGCTTGGCGCCACGTCAGCATTTTTGCAGTTCAGCCAAGGACTCCTGCACACACTGTCCATCCATCTCCACGTGTCTGAGGGAGGGAAAGGGTGAGAGGGAGAGAGAAAGAGAGAGAGATTTGGACTTCCTGCTAGATGAGTGGAATCAGGAGGAGAGTGCAAAAAATGGTAGATGGAGGAATACATGATACCAAACTTCTTCTTGTCAAGGACCCTGGAATAGATCTGCTGCAGGTATCTCTGAAAACTCAACCAAGCTCCAAGTAGGGCTATCCCATTCAGATCATGGCGCATTCTAGTGTTCTGGCCCATTCAGCATGCTGTATTACTGGACTCTTAGTTCATCCTTCCCTGAGGAAAAATAACCATAAGGCCTTTACTTCTCTTCGCTTTCTATTAGTGGAATAACCTTCCCAGGATACTCTGAAGTTGAGAGTAGCTTCCTGTTTTCGGACACATCTGAAAGCTTATTCTGTTGAAGACCCTGCG